TTGAGTTATCCCTTTAATAACCCCCTATATATATGTGTGTGTGTGTGTGTGTGTGTTGATTACTTGTAAATTATACATTATTAAAGCAATAATAATTTTTTTTACTTTTAGTCATTTTTATAAGAACTTCTGTATCATAGACAATAGTATCTGCAATTATAGCTTAAATGATTTATCGTATATTATAGATATATTACTCTTTTTAAATATTTGGCAACTATAAAATATCCATTATAAATAAAATTAATTAAAAAAAAAAACAAATTGGTAATTAAAAACCCATATATTAGTTTATGTAAATAAAATAAAATAAAGACATTTTTTTTTGCTATTATTTCAATTATATTTGGTACACTGAATAAGAAAGAATATAATAAACAATTATTACTGTTCCATGTTTGACATGACTTTTATATAAAACAGACAAAAATAAAATAAAAAATAAAGTGGAACAGACGTGTTCCACCCCACCGCACAAATTGATATTTTACCAATATCTATACTGTCTTAAAGTCTTAAAATACTAAATGACTAAGATACCCTTACTCCCTTTTGCATCCCCTCCTCTCCTCACATACTCTCAACCTCACATTTTTTTTAAATTATAATTTTAAATTTAGACTTTATACCCCTATAATTAGTTAATTAATTTACTTTAAGTTCTTTACTTTTAAATGTTTCATTTTAAACCTTTATCAAATTAACATACATAATAATATATCAATTAAAACATATTTAAAAAAATACATTTTTATTTTAACAAGTTACACCATTATAATCGTCTTGTTAATACCTTCGAAATGAGTCTAATATTGAATAGTTTTTGACTTAATTATATTATTATATATTATATATCCTGTAAAAAATTATTTTTAATATTTACGATTTATACTTTTATAGTTAATTATTTAATTTTTGNTGATACATCATTTATTTTTACACCATTATCACATTAAAATACATTAGCTAAAATACGTTAAAATACATTATACTTAATTTATTTATTTTTAAAATTTATTTTTACACTTTTATCACATTAACATACCTTAATCTGAGTTTCTAGACAAGAAAGAGGATAAGTAGTTGAAATTTCATTCTAAAACCCATCGTTTTTGGTCTTTTCATGGCTTATGATTTGTGAAATTTGTAGTTTTCTTTATTGGTTTTGAGTGTTTATCTTAAAACTCAAGTTTCTTGGTTCTTTGCTCTTGGTGTAAATCAAACATATTTTGTGGAGTCGTTTAAATATGTTGGATTTTAAATATATTGGATTTTAAACTGTCATACACTTTTTTTCATCAATAGTCTGTAATTGGAACCATAACTCTTGTTTATTCAAATTGTATTAATATGTAAAGGTCAAGTGTAACATATATCATCGTTAAATCTTATCTTATAAAACCAGTGGAACTTCAAAATCGTTAAAATTCATGGCTTCCGCCGCATTATGCGAGTACACAACTAGTACTGTAAAAAATTAATTCTATTTTAAACATCAACTGTGTCTCCTTTTTATATTTTATATATTCTTTAAATTTTATTTATTGTATTTTATTTTCTACAAACTTTCATATTACTGTCTTCCAAGTAATATTTTATATTTTTCTATTAAATATTAATGATAAGAAATAACATATAAAAAGGTATAAAATTAAATTCAGAAACATATAAACTCATAAGGTATATTGATCATTTTTTTTATAAAAATGTTTATTTTATTATAATTTAATAAATTACATTAATTAATCACAATACATAAAATATATATAAACACGTCATTAAGTGTAAATTAATCATTTTACCAGTTATGTTTTGTCTTACTAAACACTGAACAATTGTCTTATACTGTTTTTTTTCTGTCCTACCCTATTCTGTTTGGGCATCAAAAACACCATACGGGTCCGTTTGGTTTGCATGATTGTTTTTGGATTTGGATTGGAATTTTGTAGAGGGGTTTGGAATGTATTTGAAATCATTAGTGTGTTTGGTTTGTAGGATTTTGAATGGAATTGGATTCCATTATTTATAAATAACTTATAAAAATAATTAAATTACATTTTTATTAATCACTTATTACAAAACAAATGTTTTTAACATTTTTTTAAACCTTTTTGCATACAATCCTACGAAATGTCGTGAAATCCCAAGCACCCCCTAAGGATTTTAAAATCTTATGTTCGTAGGATTTCAATAACCCTCTAATATTTCAAATTCAGACAATCCAGCAAACCAAACATGAGATTGAAATGGGTTTGAAATCCAAATCCCCCCAAATCCATTAAATTCCTGCAAATCAAACGGGACCTAAGGGTTTAGAGGACTTGCACACACACGGACACATAGGGATCGTGTCATAAGCATGTTATTGTCGTTGTCACAAAGCAAAGTACAAATATACCATCCCAACACTAGAGAAGGCGAATCATAACGTTTTTTTTCGTGTATGGTTCAACACACGCTCAGTCATGTGATCAAGATGCTCTTCAACCATGCACTGAATTTGTGTTAGAGATTATATAGTCTATTACAACGCTCTGGTTTTTTTAATTAACCTGGATATCCAACCCGTTAGGCGAGACGACTAATCCCAGTGCGACCACCTGCTTTGCAGATATGTCGGAGTCACCGCATTTGAACCTCCGTGCCCACAAGGGGATTTTTATTCCTCCTTGGATTTGAACTTGGGACCTCCCGATACTTTTGACATTTGGAGTCAAGCTCAAACCAATCAGACACCATCCTTGTGGTTAAACGCTATGATTTCAAAACAAAAGAATGATACAGTTGACATTTTGGCAGTGCATTTGTAAAAACGTGTCGATAGAGTAGCATATTTCTTTTAAACACTGAACACGTCACCGTTGACCATTATCTTGAGAATATTGAAACGAGTAACTGCGAATACCAACAAACCACAACTAACCGTTGATTTTTTTTACAGAACCAAATTCCAAATACAGTAATTTCAAGAATTAATGATTCATAATTTTCTTGCGGTGTTTGTTATTATATCCCAATAACGACAAAAAATCTATCATTTATAACTTTTCATAAAAAAAAATATTACTTTATGGGCATCGATATATTTATCATGGATTGTGATCATTACATATCTAAATATGAAATAAAAATTCGTTTTATTTATTTTATTAAAAATTGTACGAAATATATTTAATTAATAATTAAATAATTTTGAAATTGATTCGGCACCTTTTAAAGATACCCGTTTGTCAATTTTCAATAAAACATAGTTTTTATAAATTTATAACAATCTGCTACATCGTTTTCATTATAATACAATATATAGATCAACCGACGACACGACTATACAATTTCAGTATTATTACAAAATATTAATAACAAAATAAACAATCAAGTTATAAAACTTATTTATTTTGATATTTTTTAACAGTATCTTGTATCTGATTAACAGTTAAAATTATTGTCAGATTAACTGTTAGTCAAATATTGTTTTTATTCTAAATTAAAAAGTACTTTAACCTTATATATATATATATATTATATAAAATAGTAAAATTACTAAAATATCCATTATTTTAAATTTATTTTTACAAAAAACTAGGCGTTTTTTGKGGATATTTATGTAATAGGGGAAGTATTTCTTACACATGTATTGGTTAAATATTACAATTATTTAAAAAACAATTAATTAATAATAAAATTGAAATTATTTAAAAATCATATACAGTCAAAAAGTTGTATTTATTTTTGGATAATAAGAAATAATAATTAAATAAAAAATAATAAAAAAAGAAAATTTCAGTCTCTGGTAGACCCTTAAAATTCCAATCATTTCGGGTCCACCCTCACAAACCATACATTTATTTATGTATTTATGAATATTTTTCTGCATAAAGATTTGTGAATTGGAAGAGAGAAAGGGGAGATGGTGGTGAGGTGAGGTGAGGTGTGGTGAGGTGAGGTGGGAAATCGAAACCCAAAATTACCAAATTTTTCTGTGAAGAAATTACTTTTAAATCGAATGAAAACCTGTTAATCACAGAGAATCGAAGTAATCAGAGGAGGAGAATACAAGGGTCTCTTTCGTTTTGTGTTCATCAGCAGCTTGCTTACCCTTGACTGTCTGTCTCCTCTTTCTGTCTTGTTATCAGGTTCGTAATTCCATTTTTTCATCAATTCCTCAATTGGGGTTGTTTCGATTTCTAGTTTATGTTACGTTTTCAATTGTTGATTGCGAAGAAATGATGGATTTGTTGTGTTGGATTTTGAAATCCTATTCAGATCTTTGATTTTAATGAACCCTTTTTTATTTTTAGCAGATAGATCGTTTTTAGATTTTGATTTTTTAGTTCATGATTGCGAAATTGGGGGTAATTTATGAGAAATCGTGAAAAAGGGGGAAATGTTTGAAATGCGATTGATTTTCGATCCTAATTTTGTAAAACCCCCTGTACGGCTTCGTCTGTTCCTCGATTAGCTCATTTATTCGAATTGCTCTCAATTGAGGATTTTTTTAAATTTTATCCCATCAAATTCGAAGCAATATTTTAATTTCGTATAATTTTTCGTTATTATTGTTGTTGTTCTAGAATCAGGACTGGAAGTGTGGTCTACCCACTTCATTTGGGGGGACTATTTGAATGATTTTTGGTTGATTGTTTTACTAAAAGTGGAAAATTCTTGGGTCAATTTGTTGTTATTTTGTAATCGACTTCTTCGTACATGAAATTATCATCACTGTTTTGAGTTTTGGGGGTTCTTTTTTTGCCATTAAAGACTGAAATCTTATGATTTATGAGCTGCATTTTTACTATAGCTATCTGGGTTTTTTTTCCTAATTGGGAAGGGTACGTACTGATTCTGGCAAATTGTGACCGCAAGAAATCAACCTTGATGAACGATCATTGGCCACAATTGTTATGTATTGGACTAATCCCGGCAAATTGTGACTGCCGGAAATCAGCCCTGATAAACTCAATGGCGACAATTGTATGTGAAATTGTGACCGCTAGAAATCAGCTTGAGTGGCCACAATTGTTGTGTATTTGACTAATCCTTGCAAATTGTGACTGTAAGAAATGAACACTGATAAACTCGGTGGCTACAATTGTTGTGTTCTTCTGGAATAGAACCCTGGGCATATGTGATATTCCATCACACCTTAGGGCCTCAACCACGACGCCACAACCCTTGTGGTTAACTCTTTGGGTCTTTTTATGTAGATTTCTAGATTTCGGTTTCCTATAAATTTGAAGTCTTAAAAACTCACAGAACACTGAATTTATGATGTGTTTTTAGTTGAAGTAATTGTTAGCTGATAATCAAGAAAGGAGCTTTTGGCTTTTGATGGGTGGATTTGATGACCATGGTGGGATAATTGGAGATTGGATGCCTCCTAGTTCTAGCCCACGATCTTTCTTTGCGGCTATGTTGGGTGATGATTCTGGTTCAAGAACCGTATCCGAGCCTCCTCCGAAGCCTGATAACAACAATGATAGTGGGTTTACTTTTCCTGGACCAGATAGGCAAGGTGGGTCTGAAAATGGTGACGGAAATCAAAGAGGACTAACCGTTGATCAAGCAACGAAAAAGGGTGAATTTGGTGAGCAAAGAATGAGCTCGAGGGCAGGTCTTGTTGAACGGATGGCAGCTAGAGCTGGTCATAATGCTCCTAGATTGAATACTGATATCATCAAACCTGCAGATTCTTTGCAAAATCAACAAGTTCGATCGCCTTACTTGACTATTCCTCCTGGTCTCAGCCCAACTTCTCTTCTAGATTCTCCTGTTTTCTTGTCGAATTCATTGGTAAGTTTACTATAACTCCTTGTTTCCATAATTAGAAATACAGATATGATTCACTTGTTTATATTGCAGAATGAATGCTTTCAGGGTGTACCAATGTGGGATATAGAACAGGACCCACAAAATTAAGAAATTGACGGAAATAGCCAATCAGCAAATGCGGTCTTACTTTTTAGCCATTTTCTGATTGGATTCATTTTTTAGCCAATCCTTACAAAAAAGGCTTAAGCATATGCATAAGGATTGGTTTTTGACAAAAAAAAAAAAAAAGAATTCTTCCACATATGCGTAAGGATTCAGAAACCGTATCCATATGTGTAATTCAGAAACATTACGCATATGCGCAAGCCTTGTGCTTACGGATTGTCTAAAAAGTGAAATTGGGTAAGAAAATGGCTAAAAAATGAAACCACCTATTGGCTTTGGCTATCTATGTGAATTTCCTCCCAAAATATTTGCAAAAAGTGTACGTTCTTATAGGAACCGCCATTAGAGAGAGTTTCATAAGTCAGTCGCATCCTTTGACTTTTGAGTTATTGTACAAGCACCTTGGTTCTTACCTTGAACTTTGTGTGAAATGACATTTAATTAGTTTTTATATCCTATATACTTATTGATATGTATACATGGGACCCACAAAAAGGGGTTCCTATAAGAACTATTAAGAGCAAAGTGTGGGTTCTTAGAAGAACCACCATTGGAGAGAGTTCTTACAAGACCCTCACATCCTTTGAGTTCTTGTACATGAACCTTGGTTCTTACCTTGAAATTGGTGTGAAGCAACTATTTTGTTATATATATATATATATATATATATATATATATATATATATATATATTCTATTGACTTCATAATTATTATTAATGTTGAAAAAATACATCGAACCCACAAAAAGGGTTCTTATAAGAACTACCATTGTGACGGTTTATGTAGGTTCTTAATTTGGTGAGGTGGCAAGCAAAAGTACAATAAGTGAGTTCTTAAATTGGAGATGCTTTGTGAAGTTTTATTTAGGCTTTTAATTTGGTAAGTTGGAAATGATGTAGCAAGAAAAAGTACAAAAAGTGGGTTCTTATAAGAACCTCCATTGGAGATGCTTTTATATATGTTTTAGCTTTAGCCCAATCATAAAGTTTTAGGCTTTTATTCGTTTAGTCGATCTATGGTCTTGGTACATGTGTAACAGGGCCTGTAAAAAGATTGCAACGACCCTTTATGGTTTTGTGGTCTTGTGTTCATTTTTTCTTGTTTTTCAACCTTCTTGGACTTGAATTTTGTTTTATATCATGAAATCTTTGAACCGAATTTGTTAATCACGCCAAATGATCTCAACTCGTCTTTTGTAGGTTCAACCATCTCCGACAACTGGGAAATTCCAATTTGCGCCCAACGGTAATGGTAAAAGCTCCATGATGTTTTTGGACTCTTCTAACAGGAATAAAGATAATTTCTTTGAGGACCCAAATAACTCATCTTTTGCCTTCAAACCATTCCCAGATCATGTAAGCAAAAATGTTCGTTAGATACAGTATCTTTTTTCGATTCTTTAAATGCTGACGAGTTTTCGTTTCTGATCGTTTAGGTTAATCCACCCTTCATGTCTACACAATCTTTTCAAACTAATGAAGCTTTAGTTCAACCCGAGAAACAATTCCCACCTCAAAAGATCGAAGTGGCCCAAAATGAAACATCTTCACTCCATATTCGTGCAGACTTCCCAAGATCGTCTACTGAAAAGAAACCCGAAGCCAACTTCTTGACTCCATTTGAATCTTTTAATGGCAATTCTGAAAGAAACGTGCAGCGTCTTGAAGATCATGATGATGATGATGCTGACCAAAGAATAAGTGGAGATAATGCTAATAATGCTATAAGTGCTTCATCCGAAGATGGATATAATTGGCGGAAATATGGACAGAAACAAGTTAAGGGTAGTGAGTATCCTCGAAGCTATTACAAATGCACTCATCCAAATTGTCTCGTGAAGAAGAAAGTGGAGCGTTCTCACGAAGGTCATATTACCGAGATTATCTACAAGGGGGCCCACAATCATCCGAAACTTGCTCCTAATCGGAGATCCGGCATTGGATCGTCAATTGCGTTAAGTGATATGCAAAGTGCGATAAATGAGCAAGGTGGGAACGGTGTCGATGGAGGTCCTTCGTGGGGAACAAATATGCAAAAAGGTAATGGCCATTGGAGTCAAGAAAGTAGTAATCTTGAGGTTACATCTTCGGGGTTGGTTATGCAGGGTCAAAATGGTCAATTTGAATCTAGTGAAGCTGTGGATGGTTCATCCACTTTTTCGAATGATGAAGAAGAAGATGATCGTGCGACACATGGCAGTGTATCATTGGCTTATGATGGCGAGGGAGATGAATCTGAGTCGAAAAGAAGGTTTTTTAGCTATTTTTTTTTCTTCTGTAAATGATGTTTCTTTTGTACTCTTTTTTCGTGATATGACTTTGATTTGTTGTTTGATATCTTCCAGAAAAGTTGAAGCTTATGCAGCCGATGTAAGTGGGGCCACCCGAGCGATTAGAGAGCCGAGAGTTGTTGTGCAAACTACGAGTGAGGTGGACATTCTTGATGACGGGTATCGCTGGCGCAAGTATGGGCAGAAAGTCGTGAAAGGAAATCCAAATCCGAGGTTATTCTTTTGTTCTGTCTTTTGTGTTCGTTATTCAATCTTTTATGTGAATCAGTGTTTGGTTGATTTTTCAGTAAGTCTTGTATGGATAAAGCTGTCTGTGTGGATTACTATAGATTGGGAAGGTTTGTCTGAGTGTTTTTTCATAGATAGGAGCGTGTTTTTTAATTGGGAGGGGCATGTTTGGAAAAAACTTGTATAAAGATCCCCCCCTAAAAACTTGTTGAATAAGCCACTTTCGATATCATTAAGCCACTATCAAACAGTCATGTATAGCTGACCGAATAAGATGTGATCTCATTAAGCACATTAAGCTGCTAGCAAACATGTCCTAAATGTCTTGATAGGCTATTTTACAGGTCTTAAGTTTATAAAATCAAACAATTGTGGTCTTACAATAAGTTGATAAAAGACGTATTTGGGCACTCTAGCAAGTTTATTAGAACACTCGTTTTTACAAGACATTTTTTCTCCAAATAATGTCATAAAAAGAATAAGACATGTTCTTACAAAAATGTCCTAAAAGAACTTGTTATAATGCTAAAAGAACGTTCTATCAACTTATTTGTAACACCTTGAACATATTTGGTCCAAATAATTTACTCCCTGTGCCCCCAAAATAAGTGCCCATGTTTCTATTTTAGTTTGTCCCAAAATAAGTGTCTATTTTCAAAAGTAAGTGCCCACTTCCCAAAATTCTACCCTTAATCGTGATAAGAAAAATTCATTACTCCCTCTATTATCAAGGGTAGAATTGTCATTTAGCTAATAAAAAGTGTAGTAGGTACAAACTTTAGATATTGTTGGAGTCACACATCGGCTAGACTTGGACTATTTCTTCTTTATATATGTTGGAACCTTTCTTTTCTCCTCAAGGGCTCTTTTGGAGAGTGATTTTGGGGTTCCACATATTCTAATATGGTATCAAAGCCAAGGTCTATCACTCTAGGAACTGGACACTTTAGCTAGCCCCCTCTCGACACTCTGGGACAATCCATGTCTATCTAGCCTTTGTTGGAGGGGGCGTGTTGGAAGCCCATATCGGCTAGACTTGGACCATTTCTCCTGTATATATGTTAGAACCTTCCATTTCTCTTCAAGGGCTCTTTTGGAAAGTGATCCGGGGGTTCCACATATCTAATAGACATATTTGGCGCCGTATAAAGTTGATTTCATTGTAGTGGCAATAAAGATTTTATGGGTTCTCATAGAGAACGATTCTACTTTTTGGGGTAGAGAACATGTTTGCTTATATCCCATTTTTCAGACCCTACTTCCGAGTAGGATATACTAGGTCCATTTTTCAGACGCTACTTTCGAGTGGGATGTACTTGGCCCCCTTTTCAGACCAAGTGGAATATACTGGGTCTGCTTTCAGACCCTACTTTCGAGTGGGACGTACTAGGTTCGTTTGGTTTGGTTTGATGTGGTGCTTGTAATAATGATGGACTTCTTGGAACAGGAGTTACTACAAGTGCACGAGCACCGGCTGCACCGTGAGGAAACATGTTGAAAGGGCTTCACACGACCTCAAATCCGTGATCACAACCTACGAAGGGAAACACAACCACGATGTCCCAGCTGCCCGTAACAGCAGTCACGCTAACAACACCATGGCTGCACAAGCTCTATCGATTCACCCTCAGGTTCACATGCCCGAACCATCTCGAATCCAAAACACCATGGCTAGGTTCGATAGGCCTCCCTTTGGCTTACCCGGTGGTCCGCAACTGGGTCCAACTCCAACCCATGGCTATGGTTTCGCAATGAGCCAACAAGGACCAGGTGGGCTAGCCCATATGGCTATGGCTAACCATGGGAAAATGCCTGTTCTCCCTGTTCATCATTACTTAGGACAGCCTCGCCAAATGAACGAAATGGGTTTCGTGTTGCCAAAAGGTGAACCGAAGGTGGAGCCCATGTCGGACCCGGGTCTAAACGGTGCACCGATGTACCATCAGATGATGAACAGGTTACCGCTCGGGCCGCAGATGTGAAGTTTGGCCAAGATGATGGATTCACTCTTTAAGGTTTTTTTGGGAAGAGTAGAAATATCTAAACTTGATATTTATATTATCCTTTTTGTTGTTGTTAACAACTTCTAGGGGTTTTCTTGATTTTAAGTACTTATTTTCAAGATTCTGAAACTACATTGGGAGAAGGTTTTATCCTCTATACATCAAATTCTTTTTTGCTAGTTTTCTTGAAAATTATATGCCAGTTTTAGCATTATTATTATTATTATTATTATTTTTTATTAACTTGGATATCCAACTCGTTATGCGAGCCGACTAATCCCAGGGCGACCATCTGCTTTGCAGATAGCCTGGAGTCACTGCATTTGAACTTCCGTGGCCACAAAGGGATTTTTATTTCTCCTTGGATTTGAACCTGAGACTTCCTGATACTTTTGATCTTTGGAGCCAAACTCAAACCAATCGAACACCACCCTTGTTTGACCTTTGGAACCTGGGACTTTGGTTCTTTTTGTTTGACTTGTTAGCTTTATTAATTGTGTTAATTACTTTTCAAGGGAACAACTCAAAAAAATTGGAAACAGGGGATAACTATTTATCTGTACGCTATGCACATATGTATATATAAAATTGGAGATGTTTTTTTGGTTTTAATGCATGTGTGCTTGTTACATATGTATACAAAATAAATTACTTGTATATACATTAACATACAATGCAGATGAATGATTATCAGATGTTTCTAAGTTTTTCAAATTTTGTGATTTTCCCTTGAATCTGACCCTATTTTTGTAATCATGTATTTGAAAAAATCTTAAAAAACGTTGTACTTGTAAATTATAAACATTTTGGCTCGATTTTTTAAAAGCGAAAATCATGTACAATAACTATAGATGTTCATGTTTTGGAAGCTATATTATATATAGGTCGAGGTTCAAATAAGAACATCTGTTATTTTATAAAAAACGTAAGAATACATGTAATAATACATGTGAAAGGACTTGGTGATATGTGAGTGACTTGACCCACAACTTAAGTCGACCGCGTATTTAGTATCACATGTGATGCACTATAGTATCACATAAGATTGATTATAGTAAAAAGGTGTTACTGTATTTTTCTAAAATAAAGGTGCTCTCTGTTTCAACTTTATTTATATATACATATTGATGTTTTAACTAGGATGATTTTTTAGGGCATAATACAAAATTTGATTGGAAAAATAAATATGAAGTTTGTGGGTTTCTTACAAAATTTGATTGTTTTTCATGTTACTTATCCTTTTGCTTGAAAAATGATAAATTAATATCGTTTTTATACACTGTTTAAATATAAACGGTAAACAGTTGTTCAAAAAGTCATTAGTCCAGTGATACCAGAAATTAAATATATCAGAAGTATACATGAATATTTGCTGTATATTTATGGCAAGTAGACTGATCCCGATATTATTTCCCTTGCAATAGGAGGGTTTTATTGATCCAAGACCTGTATGTAGACCTAGCCCTCTCCTGTTTTTAAACTTTAATCTTAAGTTTGGATTAAAAATCGGGTTTATTTTAGTTATGATTATCAAAATTATCAAATAGACAAGCTTATTTGGTTGCAGCTTAATGAAATTCACATATTATTCAGTCAGCTATACATTACTATTTGACACTGACTTAATGATATAAAAAGTTTTATGCAAAAAACAAAGTTTTTTCTTTCTTTTTTTCCAAACTTACTTCTCCCAATTAAAAAACACGTTCCTTCCATCTACAAAAAAAAAACTCTCTCAAACAAAAACATTCCAATCTATCTAGAGAAGATTAATACAAGACTTGATGAAAAACAAATCAAACAGCTCATAACTGTTTATTTACTCAATTTGATAAATCCAATTAATGATGCTGCCAAAAGTTTTGGCCAATGCATTTAATCATTTACAAACTATATAATTCTTACAAACTAGTTTTCAAGTGATATTTCACATATGAAACAACATGTTTGAAAATGAGGTGTTAGTACAATGAAGTGTTAATACAGTGCATTGTATCTTATGTGAAATGTTCAAGACTGTTTTACACGTGAAAAAAGAGTCTTGGAACGTTTCACGTATGGTATAACATTCTATAAACACATCTTCACAAATGTTTCATACATGAAAACCGCTTTACAAGTCTGAACAAACTATTGGGCTTGTAAGATAATACGACTATACACGTAACTTCATAAGCATTTCGACACGAAACATAACTAACACGATACATAAACGTTTCTTCTATCAAATTCGAAACACGATACATAAACGTTTCTTCTATCAAATTCGAAACACGATATTTGCCAAATCGTTAACAACCTTTATTGTTACTTATCGAATTAATCATATTCTCTTTATCTATCTGCAAATAAATACAAGATATCGTTATTGTTTGCCAAAGCTAATAAACACCCTTCTTCTAAATGTAAGTTGTAATACATAAAAAAACAAGCATATGTGTTTTCCTATTCTACGGTCTGAAAAACGGGAAATTCGCTATAATACCAATCTCCCCGACCAACTTCACTTTTTAGCCATTTTTTCAATCAAATTCCCACTTTAGCCAGAGTTTACAAAACTGCTTTACACATTTGCGTAAAGCAATCTTTATGCAAATTTACGTGCGTAAAGATTCCCATTTTCCTTCCTTTCTTTTAATCTGAAAAGAGGTCTTACGCATTTGCGTAAACTTTGGCTAAAATGAGAATTCGATGTCAAAAGTGGCTAAAAAGTGAATTTGGTTGAGGAAATTGGCTGTTTTGGTAAATTTCCCTTGGAAAATGGGGGTGTTAAAGGTATATAACAAAAGTATAACACCACCTGCACTTAGAACACCATCTAAACCACCTTCAAAACTGGAAGGGCATAAAAAAACCATACCCTTTTGTCATTCTAATGATCCCATCACTACCCATTGCAACTCTTCTCTACAAAATGGTCTTCCGTCCTCCGTGTGCCTCGGCGATTTAGCTCCTCTCTGCACCAGTGTCCGTTTACGACTTTTAGAATCTCTTTTTGATAAAATTGTGTCCACGAAGTAACCAAGAAAACCAATAATTTAAAATCAAAACAAAAATGGACCAAGAAAACCGACAAGTTACCATCAAAAATTTCACCTGAAAGATTCGAACCAGTGACCTCTTATATATAAAGCATATATAAAGCGGTAATCCAACCATCCCACCCGTGTTCAATTTCTATTTAAATATTGCTTTCAAAATATTTAAGGGCACCCCTCACAATCAAGCGGGTGCACCTTTCAGATGGCTAATTCTTCTCTCTCGCAATAATCGAGCGAGAGGGTGCAAGGAAGCCCGCTCAACTCCTAATAGGTTCGCCCCTGCTTCCTCACATGTGGTTCCTAGGGGGGCGTGTTCCATATGGGGCCGGTCAGGGTTGGGGTTGATGGTAATCAACCTTTTCCGCAAACAGAGAAGACGATAGCAATCAATGGATTCAAGTATATGGGTTGTCTTGAAAAACATGTCACCCATTTCAACAACCCGTTTGGCCTTTTCCTTTCAAGTAAACACGATACTAGTAAACGGCCAGGCCGCTGCTGCAGGAGTTCTAAAACCGAGCTTTAAATCTAGAAAATTAGAACATAAGAGAGTCTAGTCGTAACCTGAGACAGCTCCAGATCGAATGGTAATAGAGAATGGCAACAACCCTTCGCTTTCTTTCTTCTTGAAAATCGACAACATGCTGTACCACAGGCAATTGCTTAATTTCTTTGGCCTCCATAAGTTTTTTAGCAATTGCCAAATCTGTATCGGGATAACAAGTTAGAAGTCCACGCTTTCTTCCACGATAGTTTATCCCTCGAGTGCAGATGGAAGAGACCAAATACTCACTTAACTGCAAAGAGTTCAGTTTGATCATGTTATAGAAGGTAATGGATGTGTGCATGAATGTATCTGCGTTTGGCACACGGACTGGACGGGACTAAACAGGATTGGTGGGGTAAGAGTGAGGTAAACGGAGATAATTTGTGGAAGGTTTTCGGGTTTTAATTTGACAAGGGTGGTTTAGTAATTTACCAAACCTGTCCCATCTCCATTGTTCTTGTTCCACCTATTTTGATGTGACAGAAAAAAGGCGTTTGTCTCACTCAGTCCTACCCGGTCTCAGTCTAGTTCTTGGGAAATTGTCCAAACTAGCCGATCTGACCCCCCAACCTTTTCAATTTATTGATTGAAATAGCCGAGATTACGCAAGTGGCACTTACGCAACTTGTGTAACCCACTTTTTTTTAATATGCTATTCAGGAAAAGTAAACATTTCACAAGTTGCATAAGTGCTACTTGCATGGAACATGGGACAATTTTCCCCTAGTTTTCGGTTTTTCCCACCAAACATGGGATAAAACCTTTTTGTTTTGTAATGTCCCCTGTACCAAACAAACCCTTAAAGAGCATATTATCACTGTGACGAGTGTTTAACATACATCTGAAGTTGATGAACCACTGTCGGAGGATCCATTAGGGGTCTTAAGAATGCCCCTTTTAACGTCACCATAGGTCAGAATCCCTTCCAAGTGATCTTCACGATCTACAACCAGCACACAACTTTGTTGGCCATCGTTCATGCTTTTTACAGCCTCATTAACAGTTGATGATAATAGGACTTTCGGATAGCTGTTTGACATAGCCTGAGAAACCTAATTACAGAGAGTTACATTAAACGCCAGTCATTATCGATAAATATGTGATGAGAATTCCATAACACTGGAACTATATGGTGCATTTGGTATCCAGACAGCTGGACAGATCTGGACAGGACAGCAGCACAGTCAGTTCAACGTTTGGTTAGACAGAATTGGATATGACAAAACAGATAAAATGACCAATCTACCCCTATTGAGTTGTTTATATCTTTTGATTAATTTATATAAAATGACATCAAAATATATCATTAGAAAGTTTTTTTTCAAGACGATAAAATGACATCAAAATAAAAAGTTTATGTAATTTCCAATTTTTATCTTATACCTTTTCTATATTTTTTTTTATTAAACCATTTATAAATTACATAAATCAAGCAAAATATAAAGACCGTATAAAAATGATATTTAAGGACAATAAAGTGAAAGTTTAAAGAGCATAAAATACAATAAATAAAATTTAAAACATGAAAAAAATGCAAAGAGGGAGGCGTATTTGATGTTTTAAATGAGAATTAAGTTTTCTTTTGAGGTTATATTGGTAAAGTATTGGTCTATTCTACCTTCTTCCATGGGGAGGGGGTGGGGGTGGAACACACCTGTTCCACTTTGTTCCTGTTTGTTCCACATAAAAGTACGATCGTTGTTCTGTTCTGTCATGTCCAGTGTCCAAAACGCACCCTATATAATCAAAACTTTTAAGTACCTTCAAATCCTCGAGAATAATATCCTCATCAATTGCTTCATGGCTATCACCAGGTCCCATTATGCAAAGTTCCAAATCATCTTCGCCATTTTGTCTCCAATCGTCAGTTTTGTCATCAATTGGTGAAAGAAAGGAATAACCTCTTGATGAACTCCTTGTATCAGATCCCTCGGCCTCCTTAGATTGGTTCGCTACGGATGGCACCCATATTGCCAATCCAACAGCTCCCTGATTACAAAATTTAAGACAAAAAAAAGGAATCAATTGAACTCCCCAAACCAGATGCCAAAACTTATATATTCAGATATCAGTACGATTTATGAGAAACTAAGGGGCCGCTTACCAAACGCTTACCCGGTAACTCACTTATTGGCAAGAGATATCAGTCTCACTTACCTTATCATGTAACATTCTAAATCGTCAAAACGGATTGTTGGTAAGCGTTTTAAACTCGGTAAGTGCTTACTAGGTAAGAGTCATCATCCTTACGTCCCAGGTACGAGTCTCAATCCTTGCCTTCCCTCTTAACAGGTAAGATTCTCGGTCGTTCTTATGTTCACCCGGTAAGGTAATTGAACTGGTAATCGCTTACCAAGGTAAGTGTTCAGTAAACAGCCCCTAAGGCACGAGCACAAGTCTCCCATTGCTGTTGGGTATAGAAAGCATATAATCTATGGCGATCATGAGGCTGAAATCGTCAGGGTTCTATGGTGGGACAACTATACAGGCATCGTGTCTCAAAACCAATATATAAAGGCAATGTTGAAACCCTATTCTACAGCAACAAGAGTTCTCGAAACCTTTATTACGAAGGAAAGTAAAAAACCTACTGTTCCCGAAACTTCTATAAGAGAGAAAGGAAGGGGAAACGGAAGAAAAATAATGATAAGTTTCCTCCCAAATAGGGAGGAAAGGGAAGGAAAGATATTAAAACCCCTTAAAAAGATTATTAAAATTACAAAACTACCCATCTCTCATTTTAAAGGATATATTCGCACGTCTTTCCTTTCCTTCCTCTCCTGATCAAGAGCATGAAAAATTATTTTCTTTATTTTCCTTTCCTTCCCTCTTGAGAATACAAATAATTAAATTCTTATCCTTACATTTCTTTTCTTTCTTTCTCCCCAAATTTGAGACCACACTGCATCTCCAACAGATTCTCCAACATGAAAAAAATGAAGATTTTGGAGTTTTTAACCTTTTTTTTGCGCCAACAGGTCCTCCAAAGCTTTCTCCAAAAGCAGAAAGTAGGAGAGAGAGGATAAAAGTCCCCAAATTTGGAGAACTCTCCAAAATTAAACGCTGAAAAGAGAAATATTATTTTTATTATTTCCAGCAACGAAGAAGGAGGGTTGGGTTCCTGAGAATGGAAGTTATGGTGAGAAGGATAAGAAGGGATCTCCACTCTTGGATCAATCCTAATTGAGGAGAACCACTAGATCAACACTAATGAGATACACTAGATCAATTCCCTTCTAAAGCACAACTCATGGGTTGTTTTGGGATTAAAAGTGATCAAGGGTCCAAATCCCTTCTTACTTCTTACACTTCTCACCTTAACTCCTACTCTCACACGATCCTTCATCTGAAGTTGAATGCACTATCATTCATATAAAGTTTATTTGAAAGTTTCTATGGACATTATATCGATTGAATTTGTTAATAGCATAATTTATGTTGAAATCTCCAAAATAGAGAAACTGTAGGAGATGAATATAAATATTTTGGAGATTTTAATTTGCTTCTCCATTTTGGAGATATTATAGTGAATCTGTTAGAGACACTCTTACTTGACTAAAACGTTAAATTGTTAACAATCATATTTCACGAGCTGTCAGGCAAAAGTTTACCATAAGAGGAAGCAAGATTCTATAATCCTTTGTCAGCTCAAACAGAAGCAGAACTGAAGTCAAGGGCACAGAGCAAACAGAAGCCAAGGTAGCAGCCATTCCAACCTGTATTGTAAGATAAAGTCAGAATTAGTAGCTATGAATTTCGTAATTAAGTTAAAATTAGTTAGAAAATAACTAGAGTTGTTCACGGGCGGGGCGGGGTGCTAGAAAAGCGGGCTTGGATTACCATTATCGAAGAAATGGACGGGACCAGACTGACTTGTTAAAATTAATGGGCACGCATGGGCGGGCCCATCCGGCCCATTAATATTTTTATAATAATCAACTTTTATAATTAAAATTTACAAAAAAATTGAAAATTTTAATTCTTGATACTTATCAATTCCCACTTAGGGGTTGTTTGGATGCCACTTAATGGTGACATTAAGAGGAAACCTCTTAATCGGTAAGAGGTATGAGTTGTTTGGCAAAAAAAAGAACCTCTTAATGGTTACGAAAGCCTCTTAATGATTTGGTGTTTAGGTCGCTCCTCAATGATTCAGAGGGCTCTTCTTCCATTTTTGCCCTCTCAAACTTCAATAGCCGCCTGCTCCTCCACGCCTCCCACGTTGTTCCTCCTTCCTCCTTCCAATCGATGTCGCCTGCCATTAGTTGCTGTTGTGTCGCCTGCCATTAGGGGTCTGCTGTGTCCCCTTCCGCCTTCCACAGCCCCGTTGCTGCTGTCTCGTCTCCCTGCTTAAAATTTTCCATTTTCCACATTTTATTTGCTCAAAATTTCCATCAGTTTATTTGCTCAAAATTTCCCCCAAACCAACACTTCTTTACTTAATTTCACTACCCAGTTTGTTATGGTTCAATATCTTTTAGTATAATCAATGACTGTTCTTTTAGGGTTAAGTTTCTGTAATCGCTACCTGTCGTCCTTCTTCTTGTGATGTAACTTTGCATGTTCTATGTCAATCCTATAACTAGAGTATCAYTGTCACATTATTTTAAAAGTAGTGATTGAAGTTTGTTGATAAGCATTTTATCTTGGTATGTTCATGCATTTAAACAATTAGGTAAAACCATCGCCATTTACAGTTTAATCTCCAAAAGCTTAGCATGTATGACATGCAAAATCTGAGGAACTATGTAATCAAAATCGAATTATCCTAACAAACAGCCTGGAAGTCGAATTATCGATTGATGCCGTAACAAACAGCTTTGTAATCAAAATTGAAACCGAAGCCTAACAAACAGCCTTCAAATCGAAGTCATAAAACACATAATAGAGTAGAAGAATCTAAAAAAAAAGGTTGCAGATTAAGATCGGCCACTGGAGGATGTGAATTAGGAAGAAAATCGGAAAAAAAATTAGAACCGTAGCTCTGATACCATAAAAGATTCTGTGGTATATTGTTTTCTCTGTGCCGATACAATAAACAGGAGCCCCTTAAATAGGGGAAGAAACCTATGTATATCCTACCACTAAATTAGGAATAGATATGTCTAATAATTACAGATAATTGTAAACATTACAAAGTTGTCAAAACTAGTCCCTGTCAATATGTTGGCTAAGACTATGATGTATTGGAGTTGTGCCACTAGAGTCATAACTTTTATGGCTGATTAGCGTGCAAAGGATGGTCGTGTTAAACAGGGTTAAAAGACAAATATAATGTTGATACAGAGGGTTAAAATGGTAATTTTTTGTTATTCAGATAACAATTACCAAACAACCTTGTTTCATTCAGCACTTAACCATTCTGGCCCTCTTAACCATTCTGACCACTTAACTATTCTTCACTAAATCATTCAGCAACTGCCAAACAGCCCCTTAATTATGCCTCATCATAATAACACTCTTTAAAATTCTATCAAGTAAAAACATAATTACCTCAGTTGATCAATTCCTAATTACATTTGGTCATTTCCTTGCTCCATATTTTGCAAAACAATTTTTTTCTAATTTATCTACATTTTAATGTATTTACGTCTAACTTTAAGTTGGAAATTGTTATGTATTTTGAATTATTTTATATAACTTGTGATTATATATAAGTTTTGTTTTCTTAAAAATATAAAAAGACTTTTAGGCCCGTTAGACCAAGGGCAAGCCCAGCCCGTTAATAGGGCGGGTACAGGCAAGTTTTCAAACCCGTAAAAGAAGGGCTTGGGTTTGCCATATTAGGCCTATTGGACAAGAAAAATAGGTTAGGCCCGGCCCAAGCCCACAAATGATCAACTCTAAAAATAACATATAGAAGTAGGAAGGGAAAAGCATTACTAATGCATATGCCTGCGGCTGAGCAATAGCAGCATTTCCTGATATGGCTGAATTAATTAATTTCCCTGCTGAACCTCCAAAAACGGCACCAACTGCAGCACCTATCATCAAACTTGGTGCATACAGACCACCAACAAGCCCTGAACCTTTGCAAAGAGCCGTAGCCACAACTTTTGCGGCAGCTAACTGCGCTAATAGCCAGATTCCGGGTGCTGAAGCTGTCTTCCCGGTATGCAAAATTTCGTCAACATTAGTGAAGCCCCAGTAAAGAATTCCTGGATATTTTAGAGCTATCAACCCTGCTCCTAGACCACCTAATGCTGGAGAAACAATAGCAGGAAGTCCAAACCTTTCTTCGATATATGCAAATGTGTTGTTGAACCAAGCTACTAAGCGAGTAAATAGCACACTAACCACACCACATAGCATTCCCAAGATCAAGTAGAGAGGTAGTTCTGCAAGAAAGATATGACACAAGTATTCAGACAATTTCTTCCACATCAAGGGTAGATAGATATATCAAAGGGTCTTCTGCCCAGTTGTTGTAACATCCCAGGCTAACCATACCAGATATTGTCCACTTTATCCACACTTGGACTTACAAGTTTTAAAACGTATCTGATAGAGGAGGTATCCAGTCCCTTATAAGGAAACCTTCATTCTCCTCTCCAACCGATGTGGGATCTTACAATCCATCCCCCTTAGGAGCCTAGTGGCATACCAATCCGGTTTCCGGCTATGCTACCATTGTAACATCCCAGGCTAACCGTACCAAATATTGTCCGCTTTATCCACACCTGGACTCACGGTTTTAAGACGCATCTGATAGTTAAAGTTTATAATAAATGAGTGGGTGAATTCAGTTGTTAAAATGGCTTTGGGAACACAAAAAGTGGTGGTGGAAGCGATCCGTAGTTCTTTTTTGTCTCACACGGGTATATACCGGTGTTTTCCGAGCTGATGTGGCAATGTCACGGTCCAAGACCCACCCACTGGAGATGCCTTAAGATACGGGCTGCAGATTTTATATCACATACATGTTCTTTACAGAAACAGTTAATTAAACTAGAATGAGACAAATACCAGCAGCAGATTTCAAATCATACTCCGGCACTGTGAAAGCCTGCTTTTCTCCAAGTATAACACTTGATACAGTTGATGAAATGACTGATGCCAATATTATCATTGCAGTTGTGAAAGGAGGGGAGTTTTCAGCAAATTGAGGCCTTAACACAGTCTCAATGGCAAAGAAACAACCAGCTACTGCTGCATTGAAACCTGTAAACAAGAAGCCAGACAGTAGAGGAAAAATCAAATCAAAATAATTGAAATATATTGGACAACTGCAGCATTAAAACGTGAAAAAGAGAAAGTAGAAACAAATGGGTAAATGGGATATCGACTTATTTTACATGTATCAGCAGATGACTAGAAAAAGAAGAAATGTGTAACTTGGGAGGGATTATATATATACATGTGCGTGTGCGTGTGCGTGTGTGTTAACTTTGAAGCATCTGAAATTGCACTGCATAAAATTGTTATTGTCCTTGCACAGACTTTTACATAGTTAAAAATAGGATACATTGCAGTTTACTGAACCTCAGTAATACAGTTCACTTAAACACCTAAATTCTCTAAGGTTCCGATTGGTTTGTAGGATTGGATTGGATTTGGAATGGAATTCCATTTGAATCCCATGTTTGGTTTGAAGGATTTCCTGGATTTGAAAGCCCGGGATTTCATTGAAATCCAACAAACATAAGATTTTGAAATCCCACGGGGATGGTTGGTATTTTCATGGGATTTCGTAGGGTTTGTAAGTAATACTGTTTTAAAATATATTAAAACATTAGCTTTGTAATAATCAATTAATATAAAGGTAATTCCATTTTTATAATTGTCCTTTTATAAATTAAATATAAAGAATGGAGTTCAATTCCAATCCAAATCCTACACACCAAAGATCTCAAAATTCTTCCATATCCAAATCCCTTCGATTCCAAATCCTTTCACAAAATCCAAATCCCACAAAATCTTTCCATCAAACCAAACAGCTCCTAACAAGTTCCTTCTTACAAGAAGATGGGAGTATCAGTAGCTGCAAAAATATTAAACCAAACACAGTAATTTTCAGTGCACACTAGATCAAGTGAGAAGGGCTGAAAACCTGAAGATATGCCAGCAGCTGCACCAGCTGCAACAAGAGCTATCCTGCGTTCCTTGTTATTTTCCATCATTAATGAGAATCCATTGGCACATGATTTCCCGATATCTACACTAGGTCCTTCAGGACCCAAAGAACAGCCAGTACCTAAGGTTACAGCAGCTTGGATAGCCTTCACGGTTGGAAAGACTCCAGAAAGCAGGTTAAAATCATGTCCAGGATTTGACTGTTTTATCTGGTGTAATATTTCAAGTAACCCATGCAACACCCCAACGATGACTCCTCCAGTGACAGGTATTAGAAGTATCCGATGCCAAGTGTCACCCAGCCTCTGTAAACGTAGCCAAGCAGCACCTTCATTAGGGGTACCAGCCCAAGACCATTCATGTATTACATGCACCTGTATTGAGTACCTTGCTGTCAGGCAATCTGAAAATCAATAAACCACGATATAGCAGCACAGTTACATGTTTAGCACCCCGACATTCATGGATCAGGATGGTGATCATACAGATGTTCAAAACCGGGACCTGTTACCTCCGTTCTAAAAAACTTAACTGGTCTTAGAGTAACCGGTCATCATCTGACCGGGATTTTCTTAACCGCTTCCGGTCCAGTCTTGGGCTTCAGACCATTTGAACATCTCTAATCTACCATGACTCTGAGTGTATTTAGCTGCTAATGATAGGCTGAGGCAATAGCTCACCGGCGTCATCCTTTTGGTTTACAAGATTCAAAACCTAGCACATATTATTAATCATTTGAGATCCCTCAACATTAGGCAAACTCTTCCCTTGAAAACTAACAAACTAATGATTAGGATTCAAAGCTTTATCTGATAATAAATCATATAAAGGTAAAAAAAGGCTTTGGAGTCACACTTCTATCTCCAGAATTCCTAAAGTAGGATGACAGGTTAGTTACCTCGCAACTTGACAATCAAAATGGAGACTGAGCATGCAAAATAAAGATACCAACTAAACTGAAAACATGCGTCAGTAGGCAAAACAGGATGACACTAGAAGTACGTTGTCGTAGCAAAATGTGGTCTTTATGGCTTCCATTGCTAATTTCACTACTCCTTGTGACTACCTATTCTCGTCCCAAAAAGAAATCTTAACGAGGAAAAACAACAGTTGAAGTGGACAAGGGAAATGACAGCTGAATGGAATTCTAAACTGAACACAAAACTAGAGATGACAATCCTAATGTATACAGTAAATTAGTAATTTCAAAACAGTTCCTGAACTTTCAAGAATCCAACTCAGTCACTAGAATTGTGAATATTTTCGAAAGATTAACTCTGGTCTTGAGCTGTTAAAATGCAAATGTCTAAAATATCTTCTGCTTTATCAGCAGCAGACAGTGTCTTTTTTATGGGCGCTTTATTCTGGCTCCGCTTAGAAAAGGTCAAGCAGACACAATAGGCATGAATCTTTGGGGACCTATTATGAGATTTATGGACACTACCTAATATAACCTTGGACATTCTGGAAACAAGACAAGAAGGATGGAAGAAATTTAAATCATAGATACGACTTAGATGGGTCTTAGAAGAGTCGGAACAGAACAAGTGTTCAGCGTTGGTAAGACAAAACTGGACATGACAGAACAGATAAAATGACTAATTTACCCCTAATGGGTTGCTTAAATATTTTATACATTTTGATTAATTATGTAATTTATCAAATTATAATAATTTAAATATTTTATTAACAAAATATATCATAAATGTTTTCGTCAATTATACCTTTTCTATATTATTTTATTATTATTAATATTTCATATATTATATAAATTAATCAAAATACAGAAACCGTATAAAAAATAATATTTTGAGAACAGTAAAGTGAAAGTTTTAAAAGCATAAAATACGATAAATAAAATTTGAAGAATGAATAAAATGTAACGAGGAAGGCATATTTGATTTTAAGAAGAGAATTAGGTTTTATTTGAAGTTATATCGATAAAATGTAAGCATGTTCCACCTTCGTTCCACTTTGTTCCTGTCTGTTCCACATAAAAGTCGTGTCAAACGTCGAACAGTGATACCTTTTCTATTGTCCTATCCAATGTACCAAACGCACCCTAAAGGTTGGCTTTAGGTAATTGTAACCTAGAGCTATGAAATCATATAGGTCCAAAGATATCATTCGAGTAACAAATCTTTAATTCAGAATAGCCAACCAACTCTAAACTAAATAACTACAAGCCCTAAACCTAACACAATTGTAGGTGCTACAGAAACCGGACCATGCTACAACTCAAGTAGCCTGTTTTAAAGCTTATATGTAATAAAGGCAAGCGCATGAAGAGAATTACATGGCATACCAAATTTATATGATGTGTATAAAGAGAATTTGGCACTGTAATCTCTCCTATTTTTGAATAGGCTATTTAGCGAAGTACCATTGACAAATCAGTGCATTCAGCCTGTAACATTATCCACAAACACCCCTCCTCCACATAAAGAACCTGCTTCTCTGGTGCAAAAATTTGTATTTTAATTTCCCACTCAGACTTCTTAATACGTGAAAAGCAAGTACCATAATGATCTATTTGTCCTCTACTCAAGACTGTTGGTTGTGCTCAAGCAGAAACAGTAAGTCTAACGATAAAAGCTGTTTCTCATAGACATTTTTTCCTTCTTCATTTCGTTCCTGATATTACTACTTGCTCATTTGCCAAGTGTTAATTAGGAGGATAATAGCATTACCCTTGGGTAAAAAGGATATATATTTTGAGGCAACCAGATAAATTTTGAATATCAACTTAATGTGGGGGTTTTCGTAGTATTTGAGAATATTGCCACACTGATGTTAGATAGTGATGGTGTTGAGCAAAAGCCATATCAGACTTGCATATGTTTGCTCTTCAAGGAAACAGAAAGGTTCTTGGTATCGTTTCTCAGATAAAAAAGACTTCGAAAGGCCTAGACCAAAATTAAGTTCCATGGAGTATATTAATTCAACAAAGCAAGGAGAAAATTTCAACTAACCCCACGATTAAAGGCAGCGACACAGAGACCGGTAGCCAAGCCAAGAAGACATCCAATAAGCAGCAGCGCCCATTCGGGAGGAGCACCATCTCCAAGGGTCTCATCACCACCAGCAACGACGCCACCGCCTCCACTACGGCTAGCGGTCGCATAATCGAAATCTGACCGGTTTCCCTTAGGCAACCGCCGCTTGATACTAAGACGTCGACCAGAAAACCGTCGATCCAACTTTTTCCACAGATCCTTAATGCCTTTACTACTTCTTACAGATGAAACTTGGCCTTCCAAATCGTCACCTGAAGACGAAGAACTCGATCGCAACTGCACAGCGTGATCATTGTGATCGCCTCCAGACATCCTTTTTACACCCTAACTTACACATACAAAATACTATCCCAAAATTCCGCCATTGCTGTTTCACCAACACCTCTGATTTGATCCCTCAATCTTCGGATCTCGCACATTAAATCGATTGCTTGATACGCAAACTTTGTTTGGGGAAAATGCTAACCGATTTTCCGGCTAAAAAAGTCAATAGAAGTCTTACCTTCTCCAATTTGTATGCAGAAGTGTAGATTTACCGGTCTGCCGGGCTCCGGTGTAAACTTTCGCCGGCTGCCGGTGTCGGAGTAAAAGGAAATCTCTAGAAAACCAAAGTGACGGAGTTATGGAAATTTTCTGGTACGAATCATATATAATTACGTTGACAAGTCAACGTTTTAAAATTAATATTTTAGTAATATTTTGAAAATCTAAATACTTGTTTTTAAAATAAATAAATATCTATTTTAGTTTACTAGAAGGGTAATCGTACAATGCAGCGAGATACATTTCAATTTTAATGTTTTGTTTTTTTGTCTCAGTCGATGTTATAATACGGTGTGATATGGTTTTGAGAAAACGATAAATGTTTTTATTTTAAATAAAATATAAATATGAAGATATCATAAAAATTTAAAAAAAAAATATTGATATTAGTTGACTAACTATTTAAAATTTCTCCTTTTCTGTGTACTTCTTTAAATCATTTTTTATTTTGATTTAATAGTATTTTTTTTATAAAGATAATAATCAAGTATTTTGTTAGAAGTCAACGATTATCCTAATTATATTTTATATTTTAAATGAGATGTTTATCTTTTATTTGATTATGTTTATCTGCAATTAGTTATACGAATTCAAACATAAAACTTTAATAAGTTGTATTTACACAAAATTTACTTGTAATATTCAATTTTTAAGTAATAAGCATCAATAAACAATACTTCATGCATAAAAAATGATATTTAAGAGTTTTTGTCAAATGCTTTATAATATAATATAGATATTCTTTTTACTTATATCAAATGGCATGAGGCGTGGTGTGTTGGGTGTGTAAATGATACGAGATAACTTGCGAGTTACTCGAAATCGACTCGGTCAATACTCGACTCGACATATTAACGAGTCAAGTCGAGCTACACAATACTTGAATCCAAAAACTTGTGAGATACTCGATCTTTTATATATAATTAGTTTTATAATATCGTATTCAATTAATTTTCTCAATTTGTATATATATATATATATATATATATATAGAGAGAGAGAGAGAGAGAGCGAGTGAGCGCAAGAGAGAGATAGAGAGAGAGCCACACGATCAAATGCAAACCACTCATATTTATACAAACCGTGCAAATCACCTTCATCCGTCGATTTCATTGTTTAATCTAATGGAATTTTTTCATAAAATTATTTAATCTTATGAAATTGTTTCATACAATATTTTTTTTTTTTTTGATAAAGTTGTTTCATATATAGTTATAAAATTGTTTCATATAATACTTATGAAATTTTAATGAAACTGTTTCATGTATTTCTCTAAAATTAATATAATGAAGATGATGGTATCCATGATTAACATTCTCCATAATAAAAATGACTAATCAACCTTTCGTAATTACAAAAAAAATGAACAAAATGAAAAATTATGATAGGTTGAATGAGATTTGTATGGTTTGTACAAATAATATGCTTTGCAAAGTAAAACTCCTCTATGTATGCATGTGTGTGTGTGTATATATATATATATATATATATATATAACGAGTTATTACAAACTCCCCCACTTAAAATCCTGAGTCCTCGTCAGGCCTGTCCAGAACTTTCTCTTTGTCATCGGCAATGTGGGATTTGTCTAAGATGTCATAAATACCACCACTCGAGGACTCATCATACCCGATAATGTTTGCCCCACCATTCTACGATATAAGGATCAGCTCTGATACCATTTGTAACACCCCCAATGCCCAAAGTAACGGACTAGCTCAATAATTTCGAATCCAACTTAAAACCATGGTGGAAACTATTGGTTGCCATTACTTGAGACTTACAAGGATCTAACAATTCTCACATTCAATCCATGTGAGACGAATTGTTACACACACACATATATACACATAATATTCTTCTAACCTTGAATGTGTTGTTTTCTCTAGTCTAGTGATAAAAAAAATTTCATTATCAACCATTTGGTACAACTTATCCATATTCAGTTAATTTTCTCAATTTGCATATATATATATATATGTATATATATATATATGTGTGTGTGTGTATATATATATATATATGAGACCAAAGGTTTTTCGTGAGACCCATAAGACCAATTCTCAACCTTTTGATTCGATCTACAATATGAACATTCATAATCACAAAATTGCCACGAGACTTCTCAATAATATATATATATATATATATATACGGTTGGGTTCACGTGAGACCAACTTGTTTTCCCGAGACACGTGAGACCACTTTTTTATACTTGAAACTTCACAACAAAATGTTGTGAAGATAAAAAAAAAAAACTTGAACCTTCACAGCAAAAACACTGTGAAGGTTACCTTCACAGTTTTTGCTGTGAAGTTTCAAATGTAAAAAAATGATCTCACAAGTTTCACAAAAATAAAACTGATCTCACATGTCCCAATTCTCTCTCTATATATTTATGTTTTAGCTATGATGATTTCTTCCAGGGAATAATACAAAAATTGATTGGAAAAATAAATATGAAGCTTATGGGTCTCTTACGAAATTTGATTGTTTTTCATGTTACTTATGCTTCTACTAAAAAAATGATAAATCAATATCGTCTTATATATCGTTTAAAACTAGGGGTGTGTAGAAAATCAATTGATCCAATTAAAACCGACCGAACATAATTGGATATCCGATTGTAATTGGATCGGATCAGATTGAAAATTTCAACATCCAATTTGAATCGGTCAGTTCTCGGATGGCAGTCTAAAACATACCAAAACCAAACTGAACCGAACCGATCAATACCCAATTAATCATTCGATGACCATCCAGTTGTCCATCTAACCGGTATCAAATTAATTTATTTTCAAATTGTTTAAATCGGAATTTGTTTTATGTGAGGCTTTGAATTTTTAATTTTCCTTGTAAGATAATACGACTATACACATAATTTCATAAGCATTTTGTCATGAAACGTAACTAACACGATACGTAAATGTTTCTTCTATCAAATTTGAAACACGATATTTGCCAAATCGTTAACAACCTTATCGTTACTTATCAAATTAATCATATTCTCTTTTTCTTTCTGCAAATAAATAAAAGATATTGTTATTGTTTATCAAAGCTAACAACACCCCTCTTCTAAATGTAAGTTGTAATACATAAAAAAACAAGCATATGTGTTTTCCTAATTCTATGGTTAGAAAAATGGGAAATTGACCAAAATACCAGTCTCCCCAATCAATTTCACTTTTTAGCCATTTTTTTCAATCAAATTCTCATTTTAGCCAGAGTTTACACTTGCACATTTACGTAAAGCCTGTTTTCAGATCAGAAAAATGATGCAAATTTATGTAAAGATTCCCATTTTTCTCACGTAAAATTTGGCTAAAATGGGAATTCGAGGCCAAAAGTGGCTAAAAAATGGATTTGGTTTTGAGGAAATTGGCTATTTTGGTAAATTTCCCTTGAAAAATGGGGGTTTTATAGGTATATAACAGAAGTATAACACCACCTGCATTTGAACACCATCTAAACCATCTTCAAAACTGGAAAGGGAATAAAAACCATACCCTTTTGTCATTCTAATGATCCAATCACTGCCCATTGCAACTCTTCTCTTCAATATGGTCTTCGGTCCTCCATGTTCCCCGGCGATTTAGCTCCTCTCTGAACCAGTGTTGATTTTACGACTTTTAGAATCTTTTTCTAATAAAATTGTGGCCACAAAATGACCAAGAAAACCAACAAAAAATCGAAGCAAAAATGGACCAAGAAAACCGACAAGTTACCCTCAAAACTTTCACCTGAAAGATTCGAGCTCGTGACCTCTTATATATAAAGCATATATAGAGCGGTAATCCAACCATCCCACCTGTGTTCAATTTCTATTTAAAATTTACTTTCAAAATATTTAGGGGCACCCCTCACAATAAAGCGAGTGCACCTTTCAGATGGCTAATTTTGTTCTCTTGCAATAATCGAGTGAGGGGGTGCAAGGAAGCCCGGTAAGCTCCTAATAGCCCCCCCTGCTTCCTCACATGTGGTTCCTAGGGGGAGGGTTCCATATGGGGCCAGTCGGGGTTGGGGTTGCTGCCTTTTCCTCAAATAGAGAAGATGATAGTAATCAATTGAATTCAAGTATATGGGTTGTCTTAAAGAACATGTCACATTTCAACAACCCATTTGGCCTTTTCCTTTCAAATAAACACGACACTAGTAAACGGTCAGGTCGCTGCTGCAGGAGTTCTAGAACCGAGCTTTAAATATAGAAAATTAGAACATAAGAGAGTTTAGTCGTAACCTGAGACAGCTCCAGATCGAATGGTAATAGAGAATGGCAACAACCCTTCGCTTTCTTTCTTCTTGGAAATCGACAACATGCTGTACCACAGGCAATTGCTTAATTTCTTTGGCCTCCATTAGTTTTTTAGCAATTGCCAAATCTGTATCGGGATAACAAGTTAGAAGTCCACGCTTTCTTCCACGATAGTTTATCCCTCGAGTGCAGATGGAAGAAACCAAATACTCACTTAACTGCAAAGAGTTCAGTTTGATCATGTTATAGAAGGTCATGGATGTGTGCATGCATGCATCTGCGGCACGCGGACTGGACAGGACTAAACAGGATTGGTGGGGTAAGAGTGAGGAAAATGGGAAAAAAATTGTGGAAGCTTTTAATTTTATAAGGGTAGCTTAGTACTTTACCAAACTTGTCCCATCTCTCTGATTCGTCTTCCACCTATTTTGATGTGACAGAAAAAAGGTGTTTGTCTCACTCAGTCCTATCCCGTCCTAGTCTCGTTCTTAGGAAATCGTCCAAAATAGCCGATCTGACCCCCCTTCACTTTATAGCCACATTTTCAACTTATTGACTGAAATAGCCGAGGTTACGCAAGTGGCGCTTACGCAACTAGCGCAACTCACTTTTTTCAATATAATATTCTAAAAAAGTAGACTTGCATAAGTGCTACTTGAGGAGTGTGTGCCACATATATTGTCCACGTAGACATTATGCAAGTACCACTTACTATGCAACTTGTGTAATGTTTACTTTTCCTGAATAGCATATTAAAAAAAAGTGGGTTACACAAGTTGCATAAGTGCCACTTGC